GTAGCCGTTGAAGGTATGGAAAGCATTAGGGTTTTGTCCTTTAGCTCCAAGAGATAGTACATCTTCATTTAATGCTTCTTGAAAAGTGAGTCCCATAAAATGAAGTCCTTATTGTCCTAGGATGTTGTCAAATCAGACAGGTGAAACATTCTTCTCGTTGTTGAAGAGAAGTAATGTTTAATGAAGATCGTCTTTTACAAACACTGTCCTTTCGTGTTTGTTGACAACTCCTGCTTGACTCTCGTTGTTGTTCTTCATGTCTCGTGTCTTCTTTCGCCTTGGAGATCCTAACATCTAGTCATAACTCATTTTCGTGTGTTTGTCTAGCTTAACACGAATTACAAAAGAGTTATGGCAACTCTTGTCTAGGACGAAAGTAGCGAAACAAAAACAGCTAATGGTTAGGGGTCTACTTTTCTACATTACATTGGTATCATCAAAATCCTAATACAATGTTCCTAACAAAACCCTCCACAAAATGTGCTAAACATCAAGAGTTTGGACAATACAAGTCTATGTAGAACAATGAGACCATGTTTGGGATAATCTAAAGAAGCTAGAATGAAGTAGTACTACAGACCCAATTGTTATATAGTGCACCAGGGCATTGTGCGTCCTAGCTTAAAACGACAACATTTTTATAAGTTGGTTGGAAGTTAACGCGACGGACACTGTTTCGTCCGTCCAATTCTGTTTCAATCTTTTTTTTTTTTTTAACACTTGTATTTATGTGTATTATGTTAAGAGTTTATGTCTATTATGTATTATGTTAGATTATGTATATTATGCTAGGAGTTTATATGTATTCTATTATACAATTTTGTACATACGAAACAGAGATTTTTTAAAAAAAAAATTAACGGCATAAACGGAATTTGGGCCAGGACACACAATGCATTATGCGTCCTGATGTATGATATAATTTGCCCTACAAACCCTGGACAAAATGTGAAAAGCATCAAAGTTTAAAAAGAAGACCTGGGCCAACAAGGGCGAGGAGGGCTTCAAGTTGCCCCCCGCTTGTAGGCCAACGGTTTGGTACTTTCTCAATTATTATTTTTTGTAAAAGATATTGATGAGTATTAATCCCTAAACCTCTAATAATATATAAGTACTTATTACCAACCAAACTATCCAACATTCAATAACTATTATACATAATAATACAGCAATAACAAAATAGTTATTACAAACCAAGCTACCACAACATTTTATAACCATTGTACATAATAATATATTACTATTTAATCATTTACTCTCTCTCTCTTTCTCTCTCTCTCTCTCTCTCTCTCTCTCTATATATATATATATATATATATATATATATATATATTGGTGACCTTGGTGACCCTACCATTAGTTAAAAAAAATAGTTGTCAAATTAAAAAAACTCCATGTAAAGAGGAAAAGATTGGGAGGTGAAAATTTTAGAGAGGCGGATAGCATTATTATTATTATTTTTTTTTTTTAAAGCCAACCAAAATGATTGTATTAATGAATCAACACAGCAATAGAGTCAGGAGGGATAGAATCCCAACACATAGAATGATCCTGAGTAAAAGCTAAAGAAGCTAGAGTATGAGCATGTAAATTAACTTGTCTAGAAACATGACTTAAAGAGAAATAATTAAATAAGGTCATAGATAGCCTACATTGGTCCACCACGACCCCAACATAGGACAAGATAGTCGTTGATTCCTAATGTAAAGCACTCCACAACTCCGAGCAATCCGTGAGAAGATCCACCAATAAAATACACCACTGCAACACAAAGTGCACCCCACACCAAAAAATTGTACCACATCTAATGGTACATTTTCGAACACTTTGTGGTATATTCATGCGTATCTAATGGTGATTGACTGCATAGTTGTACGAAAACCCGACTATATATATATATATATATATATATATATATATATATATATATATATATATATATATATATATATATATATATATATATATATATATATATACTCTAATACTCCTCAATCGTCGTGAAGATAAATATTTGAGTTGAAGCTAAGAATGTATAATTGATGTTAATAAAGATGAAGTAATGCCTGGCCACAATTATGACAGACTTGTATACCCAAAAATAATAATTTTGGCAGATTCAATGTGATGATGTGAGTTGAAACGCAGAGAAGTTGCATAGATCTTTCCAATCTAAATCCTGTACAATGTAAACAAACACTAGTACATCCACGTGCACCATGCAGCTAGCTAGTTAGGGCGGATCAATAGCAAATGGAGATCAATCGAACAGTTGAAAATAGTTGTTTTTACAGAGTACCATGCATATATATATATATATATATATAACCCCATAATATATAATGCAACACAGTAAAAACAAAACATTGCATGTGTAAGCAAAGCAATAAATAAAGGGTGAGAATTGAATTACAAGGAGCTGAGGAGAGAATTGAAGGCAGTGAGCTAAGCTAAGGAATAATTGTTGTATGTTGAGGGGTTCCATGGAATGTGCATGTGGGCAGTTGTCCTTGAATATTGGCTGTGAAACCACAAGCTGGCAATGTTTCATCCAAGAAAATCACTTCACACTGTGGGGAGAAAAGGGAGGGGTTGGGAGGTGGCTGTTTGGGAAGTGTGAATGAATATATATAATGTAGGGTGGGTATGGGTGGGGGGCACCCCCCTCCATAGAATCTGAGATGTCAAATTCATGTCTGTTTTTTGCATTCATTTCATTTCTTGTCATTTCACTTCTGACCATTTAACCTTCCTTCTGATCTCAACCCCCACCCCCCTTCCACCCCCAAACAAATACCCAACTTGTTTTTGTACACTATTGTACTACTCATGTATCTATCTCAAAGACTTTGTGGTCCAACGATATGACTGTAGTTCTTTAAGACACAGGTTTGAATCTAAGTGGAGACATTGACTTAACTAACTATATTCATGTATCCACACATTTTACCCTTTTTGCCAAGAGTCTATCTAATCTCTTTTTGTTTTATATTTTCACACGAATTGCTATAATCTACCATTGGACTCATAATTTAATGTTCAAGCTTGGACAAAAATTTAAAGCTTTCAAATCAAGTGTTTATTACTACGTCAAGACTGGAGTATAACCAATAATAAAGACGTACTTTTATTTATTTATACTTATATAACGTAACAGTCACTATTACGTTTTGAATATAAATGGATATAATAGAATGTCAAATTGGACCCTGCAATCTCTCGCTTAATAGTAGTGAGGTTTCAAACTTCAAGTTAAAAAATTTAATGTCATCAAATCTTACCATTTTTTTTGTCAATAATAGTGAATCTAATCTCTTTGTGTTTTATATTTTAGCACTAATATAATTAGTATAATCTTCATTCCATTGGACCCAATCTAGTCTGCAAGCTTGGACAAAAACAAAAGTGTTATAGCGATGATCAAGATCAAATATTACCACAACACCAAAAACTATACATAATAACAAAGACAACTTTATTTCTTCTAGGTGCCAGTGTCACAATTTTAAATACACACCAACGGTAGGATGTTGAATTTGGCCCTCTAGCTAGAACTCTGCCTAGCAATGGTGAGATTTCAAACATTATGTTAACAATTCTAATATTGCTGGATCTTATCATGTTATCGATAAGTGGAATCCTAGGTCTGGATTGTCTTCAGATTTTTTTTTATTTTTTTTAATTTGAATGATTATAAAGACACCCAGTAGTGTAACAGGTGCCTATCTAGTGTAGTAGGAGTAGGGCCATTCTATCATCAAATTGAGTGGAAAATCTGGAGGGGAGGGGATAAATTCTAGCTTGCTTGCACATGAGAAAAGGTTTAAATAATAGAGACAGTGTCTGATTCTAAAGGCATCATGTTCTCTAACCTTAGACGATAGATATATAGAGATTAATTCTTCATTCGGAGGAAGTAAGGAGATTGAATAAAATCAGACAGCATAGTAATCTTAATCACTTTGCTTGCTAAAGCAGGAATGCCAAGAACATGATGATGATCCTCATATTTCTAAAGATAAAGTGCAGCCAAGTACAAACTTTATTCTACATCAATCACTAAATTCGTTTCACTTAAAATTGACTAATAATGTTTGTACACACTCTATCAAGAAACCATGCATATATAAAATGGATCGTTATGCTGTGCATCCGTATGCATACAGATGCAAAAACGACGTCGTTTTTATTAAAAACGCGCATTCCACTTTAAAAAAAAATTCAGTTTCGATTCCCCTCAACAGCATTATGTTGTTCATTCATTCTGGAATTTTAGTTCATAGATTCTGGAATTTTAGTTCATAGATTTTGGAATTTTAGTTCATAGCTTCTGGAATTTTAGTTCATTGATTATGGATATTTAGACGTGAATCGAAACTGATTTTTTTCATTCATGCTGGATATTTAGTTCATTCGTTATGGATTTTTAGTTCATTCATTATGGATTTTTAGTTCATTCATTCTGGAATTTTAGTTCATAGATTCTGGAATTTTAGTTTATAGATTCTAGAATTTTAGTTCATAGATTCTGAATATATAGTTCAAATTATGCACAATATAAAGTTGTTGCTGGGAATCGAAACTGAATTTTTTTTAAGTGAGACGCGCGTTTTTAATAAAACGACGTCATTTTTGCATCCGTATGCACCATGCATGGTGCATACGGATGCACAGCATAATTTTCCATATAAAATTATTATATTGTTATAATAATGTAACACATCAAGTTCTCATATCTAAAGAGTAGCCCAAGGCATTATGGGCCAATTGTTACAAATGGTGCATACGGATGCACAGCATAATTTGTCATATTGTTATAATAATGTAACACATCAAGTTCTCATATCTAAAGAGTAGCCCAAGGCATTATGAGCCAATTGTTACAACTAGGGTCCACCTTACATGCACACACATAATTTATTAATTGAAGGTACATAATATATTAACAACAAATATGTAATTTGTAGATTCTTACAAGGTGGACCCTAGTCTATGGTATAATTTATCATTAGGCTAACATTATCCTCAACTAGTCTCTCATTTTCAAAAGTGGATCATATCTCCACATGCATCAACAAATTTACAATTTTTTTTTTTTGATTTTTTATTTACAAGTTACAACCTCTGAAATATTCTTTTACTTTCAAAAATAGACTTACTTACATATCACATTATAATAAAATAACAAAATAATAATAATAATAATAATAATAATAATAAATGTAAAAAAAAAAAAAAAAAAAAAAGTATAAAAAGGATGTTGCATGCTGCCATATATGTGACAACATTATATTTTTTATACTCTGCAAGCTTGCAATATACATAAGTAACAATAATTTTTTTTTAACTGTTTATATAGTCATATCATCATTTTGCAAACTCCATCCTTTTTAGGGATGGGATTAGCCTTGTGGGCTAACAAAATGGCTACTTAGGTTAAGATGACGAATAAACTCATTTTAAAATGAAGTGATAGGCTTGTAAGGGTTATATGGACTTACACATCTTATCGAAAACATAAAAAATTATGATTAAGGTTGTTCAATTAATTGAAATAGTTTTATTTAACCACTAACTGAATTAATTTATTAATTTTTTTAAACGCTCATTATTATTTACAAGATAATATATGTTCTACTATACTTTCTCAATCTTTAATTTTGAGGTTCTATTCTGCGACTACCCATTTAAAATAGTAATAGATGTGTCATTACATTACAGGTAGTTTGTAACTGAATTAATTTAGTTAATTTGGTCAGTTGTAATTGAATTACATCGATTCAGCTAATGGTTTTACGTTTTAAAAATTTTAGTTAACAGTTATTTCAGTTAAAATGTGAAATTCACTGAATTAACTTAATTAGTAATAAATAAATATATAAGGATATATTTTACAAAATATATATACAAGAGAATAAAATAAAATTGATGTTAATTTAGTCGGTTAACTAAATTTATTGAAATATAATTTAGTTTAGTTAATTCGGTGAATGGTATTTTAGTTCAGTGACCAATTTCACAAAAATGAAAATTTGATTTCAATTAATTTTGAGTGAATACTCTTATTTACGATGAGAGATCGAATTTTTGTTAACTTTTTAAACCATTTTAAGACCCATACAAATAATTGTGACTTATTGCAATTTTGATTACATTGTTTTAATAAGTTCTATATATAAGAGCAATTTTGATTACATTGTTTTTGTTTTAATAAGCTTTCATTCGCTTCAATTCCTTTTACAGTGATATTTTGCTCCTATTGTCTTCTGCTCAGAAATCATATTCACCCCGATTATCGAATAGCATTTACTCTCTTTTTATTGAATTGCATGGAGGTTTGAATTCATACCTTTTAAACAAGTTGAATCTTTTTCTAATACCAAATTATATATTGTGTTCTATTTCAACTAAAATGTAAAATTGATAGTGATTGGGCATTTATGTTTTATATATATTATTCTCAACACTGAAAGGTAATCAATCAAAATGAATTACATTAGATGAAATTTGTCCTACTATGATGGATGCCAATCTTAACTTGAAAACGATGAGTTGGTATGATAAAATTGAAAAATTTTAAGGTTTGGATCGAAATATTTTAATCTGATAAAAAATCAACTTGATAAACTAGAAATTGATAAATCTGATAGCCCGAACAGATTAGCCCAAAATTTAGTCAGTTAGTCCGAAATCGAACAAGCTGGCCTAATTGACATCATCCCTAGCTAAGAATATACCTAGTGTTACTATGCTAAATAAGGTCTTAGTGTAGTAGAACACAATCATTATTGCGTGGACAGTGATCCACACTATCGTGGTGTGGACCACGGTCTAAAAACACATAAATTATATTGTTCTAACTCATATAATACATTATTCTAACACATAAAGTACATTATTTAATTCTAACTTATAAAATATATTATCTTACCCCAGAAATTTCATTATCCTAACACATAAAGCACATTATACATTTCTCTAACTCATAAAATACATTATTTTAACACATAAAGTACATTATTATAACTCATAAAATACATTATCTTACCCCAGAAATTTCATTAGTCTAGCACATATAAAGTACATTATTCTAATACATAAAGTACATTATTCAATTCTAACTTATAAAATACATTATCTTACCCCATAAATTTCATTATTCCATAAAGCACATTATACATTATTTTAACACATAAAGTACATTATTGTAACTCATAAATATATTATCTTATCCAAAATTTTCATTAGTCAAACACATATAAAGTACAAATTACTCTAACATATAAAACACATTATTCTAACTCTTTGAATATATTATCTTACTCCAAAATATTCATTATTTTAACACACGTACAGAACAAAGAATTATTTTACGATCAAAATGACATCCTTTTTTACCATGGTCCACCCAACAATATGCCAGTAGATCAGGACAAAGTCTACAACTTGGGCTTCCATTTGGGCCAATATGAAAACTCTAAAATCGTAGCCACTATATGGGCATCAGATCAGTATAATGCATTAGGCTTGTGAGGCCTGGGCCCAATAGCTTTTAACCCAATAGTTATGCTGTGCAACCGAATGTACCATGCGCATGGTGCATACGATGCAAAACGACGTCGTTTTGACTAAAAACGCGCATTCCACTTTAAAAAAAAAAAAAATCAGGTTTGATTCTCGGCAATAGCATTATTGTGGATATATAGTTATGAATTTCTGGATATATAGTTATAAATTTGTGGATATATAGTTATGAATTTATGGGTATTTAGTTCATTCATTGTGGATATTTAGTTCATTCATTGTAGATATTCACTTCATTCATTCACTGTGGATATATAATTATGAATTTCTGGATATATAATTATGAATTTATGGATATTTAGTTCATTCATTGTGGATATATTTAGTTCATTCATTGTGGATTTTTACTTCATTCATTCATTCATTGTGGATTTTTACTTCATTCATTCATTCATTGTGGATTTTTACTTCATTCATTCACTGTGGATATATAGTTATGAATTTGTAGATATATAGTTATGAATTTCTGAATATATAAAAATGCTATTGTCGGGAATCGAACATGATTTTTTCTTAAAGTGGGACGCGCGTTTTTTTAACCAAAACGGCGCCGTTTTGCAACCGTATGCACCTTGCAAGGTGCATTCAGTTGCACAGCATAATTTGCGCTTTTAACCCTAACATATAAATTATATTGTGTAGATTAGTATATAACATGTGCTATATATATAACATGTGCTATATATATATATATATAGGATCTGAATGCTTTGTTTTTTTTTTTTTTTTTTCTTTTTTCTGGATTTGAACTTGGGTAATTGTTGGCACTATACTCACACTCAGGAATGCTTTGTTTTTTTTTTTCTTTTTTCTGGATTTGAACTTGGGTAATTGTTGACACTATACTCACACTCAGCCACTCAGGCTTTCAACCACTGAGGTATGCCCCAAGGCACATGTACTAAATATGTGTGTGCGTGTGTATATATAATAATACTTGAATTGCATAAGATTTTAATGTGTAAACTCAACATGGAAGCAGTAGGAGCAGTGGTCGGAAATCGAGGAGAAGGAATTCGGATTCGAACGAGTCGGCTTCTGATGCCACCGGTTCCAAATCCGACAATCCCGAAGGAGTTCCCTGCCGTAGCTGGTGATTTGGAGCAGCTTCAGAAGATGATTGATGATGGACGTACAAGCTGTTGATATAAGTGGTTTATCTGAAAGGTTATTGGTCAAGCACCTGAGAAAACTGTTTCTTTCCTTGAAGCTTAAGCAGAATGGTGATCTTGTTTTCCTACTGCCATCAAAAGCGTGTCCTACACTTGAACGTGTGAGATCAATAATTCACTCCCACACGCACCTTCAAAATTAAGAATGGCAATTCCAATCCGCCTCGTGGATATCCACCCGAATCCATTCCGTTTGGATGATGATGGATGGTGGATCTGAGGTGGGTCTTAAAAAAGTAAAGTTGTGGTGGATCAGGTTGGATTCGGGTTCTATGTAAAAAAATCCGCCTAAAACTCCACCCGACCCACTATATATATATATATATAGAAGAGCGCTCATATGCGGCGGGGTCTTACCGTGCGGCGGTGCGGCGAAATTCCAGAATTCACCAACAGTGTTAACAATATGCACCAACAGTGTAATAAAAACACACCACAATGAAATGTAATAAAACATCACAAAATACACAACAGACTCAAAAAAATACACCATATAACTCACCAGTCACCACACCCAATGGTGTATTTCCGAACAGTGTATGGTGTTTTTACTCACACCTAATGGTGTGTGTTTGGTGATGCAGGGCTCTGTTTACTCTGTTTTGTGTGGTGTATTTTCCTAACGTTGATGGTGCATATTTGTTGAACTATTGGTGTTGCCACACCGTAAGAAATCGCCGCACCGTAAGACACTGCCGCACCTGAACTCGCATATATATATATATATATATATATATATATATATATATATATATATATATATATATATATATATATATAGTAAAATAAATACTAGTATGTAGTTATTTATAAATGTTTATATAACTTTGTGTATCTTTTTACTATTTTTATGTCTAAACTATTAAGTTTATTTTTAAAAATTAATAATTTAGTTATTATATTTAAATATTTTTATTATTTTATGTTTTAGTATCACTAATGAATGTTATTATTTTATTATGTGTAAGTAATTTAAATATTATTTTTTGAAAAAATAATAAGATGATAAGTGGTGGATACTCATAGTGGGCACCCGCATCCGATGGGGTGGGGTTGGATTTTGAAAAAGTCCACCCGATACGGATTAAAGGTGGGAGTGAGTGAAGGAAATATAAGGTGGGTCGGGTGATGAATGTAGCCCTCCCCGACCCACACCCGATTTATTGTCATCCCTATTCAAAACCAACATCTTGATAATTCTGCATTGCAAAGTAATAAGCAATCAAAGTCATCAGATGCTGATAGCCATAAATCCCA